CCACAAGCACCCAAGGATCTTGTGGAGTCCAGAGGGGTGACAAGTGCCAGCCCTGAGCAGGGAGCACAGGCACCTTGTCATCCTCATGTTTTTGATGAAAAACTTGTCCCTCCTGTTCCCTGCAAGAAAGGCACTGCAGCCCATCCTATCACTGCCAGTTTAAAGGTCTGGAGACTGATCCAGGAAATACTGAGGCAAGACAATGACATCGAGTCCAAGGTCATTCTGAGCACCGTTGCAGAATGCACTCCCTCACCTCCTGCCCAGCTCACCTGGCAGCACAGGATCACACACAGGTATAAACCACCACCACCACCACGGCCCAGCTCTGGGCTGCCACCATGCCAGGGCCCTCTGTCACCTTCCCATCTGCTCTGTCTGGGGCAGTTCACTCCACGCAGCACCAAGGACCTGGCCCAGCCCTTCCTCAGTGCTTTTCCTCCTCTTCCATGGCTCTGTTTCACCATCTCCACATTACAGGGGGGTACAGCAAGAAAGGACAGAGGTGACAGTGCCAGCAGGGCCAAGGAGGTGTCAGTGCCACACATCTGCCCAGGTGTCAGCTGGACTGAGCAGGCCAAGGGATGGGGATGGGGGAAAGTGAGGACCATGAGGACAAGGAGGGTGCAAAAAGGATCCCAGGTCCCCCCCCAGCACAGGGGACACTCATCACAAGCAACAGGAGGCTCTGAAATCCGTCAGCAGCGTGGAAATACAGAGCATTTTGGGCACTCCCTGCTCAGGGTATTCCCATTCACTGCCTCCCCAGGGACCACGCAGACAGAAAGAACCACCAAGATCTGATTGATTTGAAAATACATTAACCATAGAGAATAGAGCTTTAATTTTTCTTTCTCAACAACAATAAGGAACAGTTTACATTAAAAAAAAAAACCTCAAAAGCATGAATAAAATAATATAAAACAGATATTTTACCACAGTGTGGAATTCAGATAATCTAAGAACATTAGCAGCACTTCTACAAATAGATTAAAAGCTGTAAGTGCTCGTTAAGCTCAGATCGAGCAACTCCCAGAGACCAAAATGGCATCCAACAGAGAAAAGCAGCAATTCTGTGTAGGGCAACAGAAAAGTCTAATGCCAGGACAACAGATACATTCAAATCCCTGTGCTGAGGGGTAATTCCCTGTCCCACAGAGCCCCCACGATGGCTGTCACACCCTGCTGCCCAGCCTGGCTCTCCAGAACACTCCTTGAACAAGGGAAGTGACAATCATGGGTCTGAGGTTACATCCACGTTGCATTTTCAAAGCTTTTCATTAATTCTGTTTGGGAAAACAATTTCTTCCCTGGCTTCTGGGAATCACTCTCCAGAGAGAATGAATTTCTGAGAATTTAAGTCAATCTTACATAGTCACAACAATTACATTTTTAGTCTCTCAGTATCCAGGATCAGGATTTTCAATTATTTATTGTCCTTAGCAGCAAAGCCATACTCATTCCTAAAACTTCCATGTATTTAAGATCTTGTGCATAGTTTAATCTTTAGCATTAATTTGTTAAAAATAATTAAAAAAAAAAGGATAAATGGTGCTTTTTCCTCCCCTCATCAAAGCACTGATGCAAAGTGCCCTTGCTCCCAGTCATGTCCCACTGCTGATGGCTCAGGAGCCACCATGGAGAAGGGACTGTCCCCTGCAGCACCATCCATGGGCTCTGCTCAGCTTCCATGTGCAAAATCCATCTATGAAAGGAAGCTATTAAACTACTGAACAGGAATTTAAGGTGGAATATGCACCAATCTAAAATTAAATTAAAAATTAGATTAGATTAGACACATTAAGAGACTTCCACTCCTATTCCAACTGTGTACATTCTCCAGGAAGTTCAGGATTCGGGCAAAGTTGGAAGGAATCCGCATACCGAGCTGTGTGAACGTGTGGCTATGGTGCCAAATGGCCTCAGCCATGGCCCACGTGGCCACCAGAGGAGAGAAAAGTGGTCACACTGAGAACCACAATTGTTTAGATGCCTTAATTAGTGAAATATTGCTTATTCAGGGCAATGAGGATGCTGACCTTGAGTGGAAAAGCAGGAACAATCAGTGGCATTTGATCTACTTCAGGGCATCTGAAAAAACTTTTACAGGAATTTCTGACACAGGTTCTGGTGAGTTCCAACCCTTCCATAGTGCTAGGAAGGGTTGGAACCCCATCTCTACATTGTGCTCTATCAATTTGTGCTCACACCATAGTAAAATGCTGAAGACAAGCCCAGAACTGCTCAGCACTCAGGGAAATTCCCAAATGGAATGAGAAATAAGACAGAGGTTTTGATGACATGGCCATCATTTTGGTTCTACTGATCAAAGGCTCAGAGGCTCCCACTGTGCCTCTAGAGAAAAGGAATTTAGATATTGGAAGATATTTCAAAAGCAAACTTAGGTGATGAGAACCCAAAACTGGACATCCCCGGTCAGAGGCCCATTGGCTACAGTGGCTCCCAGTGCAGGGGATGAACCTCAGGAAAAACCAGGAAAGAGAGGGGAAATAGGCAAAATAAGTAATAAATAAATAAAAACCCAAAGAATAAGAACTTCATCCCATAAACTGCTCTTGGCCACAAGGCTGGTGTCCCCAGGGATTTTGGGACCCACCTCTTCAACAGTTCCATCTCTCAGCCTTTCTTCACCTGTCAGTGGCAAGGGCTGAAACCTGCACTTCCACTGATGGCTCACATTGCACTGCCAGGTGCATTTGGATAAGTTAAGGGATGTTTCCCCATGCCAGGAGCTGGATGAGAGCAGGACAGGGACACAGCAGGAAGTTCCCACACAAAAAAATCCCCCTCAGTCGTCTTCATAAAAAACATTCACAACAAAGCCATTCAGGGACTCGACACAGCAAGAGAAAAACTCCTAGGAAAATCACACATTTAGGAACAAACAACTTCTGAAGGGTCTGCACAGGTGACACCAAAAGAGATGAGTACCAAGAGCTGGTTGGAAGGTTGCAAGAGCAGAAAGCTCAAACGCAGGAAGAGATTCCATCTGTCGCTCCCTCAGGGGAACACAGGGCCAGGACACAAACACTGAGAGGATTTACACACACCGAGAATATCTGAGCTCAGCAGCTTCAGTGTGAGACAAACCACAAACCCCACAGCAATGTGGGAGCTCAGTGAGGGTGTGATGGGAGCTGAACTCAGCCCATGGAGCCCATCCTTCCTTCCTTCCTCAGGCTCAGCTTGGAGTGACTGGGGCAGAGAACGTGGGCTGGCAGCTCATGCCACCCTTGCAGCAATCTCCTCAGAAGGCGTGGAGTTATGGAATGGTTGGGATTGGAAGGAAACTTAGAGATCACCCAGTTCCACCCCCTGCCAGGGGCAGGGACACCTTCCACTAGCCCAGGTTGCTCCAAGCCCTGTCCAACCTAGCCTGAGACACTTACAGGGATCCAGGGTGTGCCAGTGCCTTATAGTGCAGAATTTCTCCCTAAAATTCAATCTAACCCTGCCCTCTGTCAGTTTAAGGCACAGAGCTCCAGCCCCTGTTCCCACAGAGCCAACAACAGGCTAAAATAGTCCTGGGCTGGCAGTGCCATTGTGGGGTGGATTTCAGCTGCACAGAGCTGCTGGGATGAGACATTCCTCTTCCCCAAGGGGCCAGACAAGATTACTGTATATGGACAAGCCTGGTCTTAAAGTCAGAACCAAGATGAAGCCAAACTGAGGTTGTGATGGTGGCTCTGCTCTGAGCTTCCTGTTGCCCCACCAGAACAGCTCTCCCAGCACAGGGACAGTGACAAATTGGCACATCATGGAATAGGTGCTATAGAAACCACACAGTTCTTAGAAGCAAAATATTTCTCACCCACCCCCCCCTCAAAAAATAACCCACTTAGTTGACATATTTTCTCTCTATACTGTATATATATTATATATAGACACGATTCTCTGGTAAACATTTACAAGATATCGTTAATAACATTGAAAATTTCTATCTCCATTTGCACAACAGCGCGCACTCACACGCCAGCACACAAGGACACACAGTCAGGTACAATCAATAAATAAATACTTTTCCCCCCCCAAGAAATTATTCAAAAAAACACTGCTATTGAGCGGCCCAAAGACACTCTCAGTTAATACAGACAGCAAATATTGTGCAGAATTTCTTGGCTGTTTTTGTTTAAAAACCAAGGAAAGAAGCTTGAAAGGTTTAGTGTCAGCAATGTTGCTTGGTCAGGTGATGTTTAAGGTGACCTGTAGGTCCCTGGCCCTCAGGAAAGGGAGAACAAACACTTCCCTTTCCCTCTAGACAGGTGACAGACCTGTCCTAGAGCCCTGAGGGAACAGGAGCAGCCTGGAAGGAGGGAGGACACGAGCTTTTCACTGCTTGGTGGAAAGATGAAAGATTCTCACAGGAACTGGCAGATCTCAAGCTCTTTGTTTCCTGTGCTACTGCAGCCCAGCACCCTTTGGGGTGTTACTGCTTCAGGGAATTTCCCAGATTGTTGCACACATCTGTTGGGATTATGAGGAGTGAAGGGCTGCCCACTGCTCTCCCCCTTCCTCAGCCCCTTCCCCAAAGGGTTCAGGACGTGCCACTGCCTTTTCCAGCTGTGACCTCCATGTCCCAGAATACAGAAATTGCTGATTTGCTCAGAGACAGCAAACCACTCCACCACGCTGCTCAGACCTTCCCTGAAGCAGCACTTTTCTCCTGTGCACACTGACAACCACCTTTTTTCTTCCAGCAACATCTGACACGTGCCACGAGCCAACACAAACCAGCACAGACAGATGTTCCACAGGAGGAGGAAGGGCCCCTTTCCCTCCTGTGGGAGCACTCCAGCAGCAAGGAGCAGGGCCAGAGGAGAGCACACACACAGCACACATTGCACCAGGGGGGAACATAAATGTTTGCAGCAAAACTTGAGAGAAAGTACCCTCAGAGAGAGCTCCATCCCAGCACTGCCCTCCCAGGCTGGGCTGGACCCTCCATCCACCCACCCCTCTCCTCTTCCTGTATTGTTTTTACCTGAGTTGAAAAATGACTCCGAAGCCTCTGCAGGGCAGCCTGTGTGGGACACAGCAGCTGGAGAGGCACTTCATGCAGTGGGCTCCAGGCTGTGCAGGAAAAGTGGCCACACAAGTGCATCTTCCCAAAGCAAAGCCCACTCAGGGACCTTGGGCTATTTTCCTCTCACAGGCCTGTGGGAAAAGCCCACCAAGACCTAACTGGAGATGCTCAGTGGGTTTAGGGACTCAACAGCCAGCCCTGAAGCTGTCAGAGGGAAAGTCAGGATAATCAGGAGCTCTGACTTGCCTTCTGAGGAGCCCTTCCCTCACAAGAGCTCAGAGGAACAACAAGAGACCAGACTCCTACCACAAGCAGCTAAAGTAAGGCAGGTAAGAAAACCTCCACCCTGGAGTTCCGAGAGGAGGTCAGGACCAGATTTCCCAGCGTTCAGAGAACATTAAAGAGGCTGGACTTTGAAAAATAACCCCAATGCTGAATTTGGAGCTGTTCTGAAAATCCATCCAGACACAAACCTCTTGTGTGCTCAGATATTGTAGGAACAATGTAAAATCCCAGGGAGAAAACAGAGCCCTAAAAAAAGATAACACTGAAGGGGAAGCAATGCATTGAGGGACAAGATCAAAAGAGGAATTTCTGTGATCAAAGTGCCCCCCATTACTGGCAGAACTTCATTGTGTTGGTGAGAAGCAGAGAACTGGCAGCATCCCTGTGCTGCCTGGGCTCGCAGGGCTGGCTGCCTTCCCACACCACCGGGAAGGGCTGCCCAAGGAAGCAGCTTTCCAAGGAATCAGCTTTCCCTCTGTGCCACCAAGCCCTGCTCCCCCAGCCCCCGAGCTCCACCCTGGGATGTGGCAGTGCCTGAGCAGTTTTGGTGGCCACAGCAGCTGCTCCGAGGCCAGGAAGCCACTGCCTGGTCCTGCTCCCAGCACAGGAACACACCTGGAGGGATCTTTGGTTGAGTCACTGCAGAAGGTCTGAGCCTGGGCCTGTGCTGAGCCCAGGGGACTCCCAGCTCACATAGCAGCACGTGTCCCACCACCTGAGTCCCACAGGTGTGGCACTTGGAGAAACAGGAGAAGGGAGGAAGCGTTGGAGGGGAGTCCTGCCTCTTTGGGTGCCTCGTCTGCCCCGGGTCCTTCATTTGTTCTCAATCAGAGTCTGCACTTTATAGACCAGGTCCCGAGCCAGCTTCAGGATCTGCTTGGTGTTGTGGCGCTCGGCCATTTCTGCAACACACACCAGACAGGTCAGAGCAGAGCAGCCCCCACCCCACATTCCCAACCTCCCCTGGCAGGACACCTGGCTCTGGAGAACCATCCTTAACCAGCCCAAACCTCAGCTCCCTCCAACACATCCAGGCTGGCCACTGCTGAGGAGGGCAGGTGGATTCCAGCCCCACCAGATCCCTCAGAGCTCTGGGTGTTAAACATTCCCACACCTGAGCAGCTGCCCCAAACTCAGCCCAACAGAGCATGAGCTGTACCATTGAAAAACTTGATGATGTCTGTAAAATCCATGTTGTTCTCCAAGATGATGTCCCGGTACATCTCCACCAGGGCCAGGGCTATGAAGAGCACGTAGTGAGCGGAGGAGACGTGAGCAGCAGCCCAGATGGTCTCCCAGACAGCAAAGACATCATCATACACCAGCTCTGTGAGCAGAGAACAGCAGTCACCACTCCACTCACCCCACCCAGGCTCACAGAGCTCACAGCAGCACTGGAGAGACACACTGGGTGCTTCCTTCCCACAGGAACCTGCTCCAGCTGGAAGCAGAAGTCAGTCATCTGTAGGGAGAAATATTCTGCCCAGCAGCAGATGACACAGGCCCCAGGACATACTCATGGAAAAGCTCAGCAACAGGTCTGGAACAACAGGTTCTGTATCTAGACAGAACAATCAGCCAAACATAAACCAGGGAAAAATGAAAAGGAATTTTAAAAAAAGTTTAAACCTGCTGAGAAGGCTGGAAGCAGACCCTGCCCCACCCTTGGGTGGTCTCACACACCTCTCTTGAAGTCCAGGAGAAACCATCGGTAGCAGAAGTAGAAATGAGTGTAATCCCCATTCTGGTGCATCAGCTCAAAGAGCTCAGAGTCCAGAATCTGTCAAGAAAAGCAAAAGGAAACTCAGGAATGCGCACACAAGGCACCAGCCATCCCTCTGCCTACTTCCCTCCATCCCACTGCTCCCCTCCTGCACCAGCTCCTCCCTCCCCTTCCTAGCACACATTGCTCCAGGCTGTCCTTAGAGTCCCTGTCCCTCCTGCTCCCCAACACTGAACCCCACCCCAGCCCCTCCAGGACCAGCTTTCCCCCTTGGGTGTGAGGAGCTGCCATCCCCATGCCAGGAACTCTCACCTGGATCAGCGACCTCATGTTGGCAAAGTGGGTGTCCATGGCTCCTCCGTGGGGGAAGTTCTGGTTCATTCTCTTCATCAGCTCCGTGAAGCAGCTGAAAGCCAGAGCCTCTGTGCAGGGAGGAGAGAATCACTGCAGGGCTGCATGGCCACTGCTGCTCCTGCAGCAGCAACATCCTGGAGGAAAGTCCAGCCTGGCCCCAGGGTGGGCTCCTGGGAGCCAGACAGCATCACAGACAAACAGGATCCTGCTCCACACCTCCAGGCACTCCACTGCAAAGGGCCACCACCCACCTGGCACATCCCCACACAGATCCCCACACAGTGACAGGGAGAGCAGAGCAGAACCACTCACCATCATCCAGGATGACCAGGAGAGGGGCCAGCAGGTCACACATCCCCTGCACATAGCCAATCTCAATGTGCTGCCAGATGTAGCTGTGTGAGAGAGCAGGAGAGGTGACCTGGGACCTGAGTGCCACCACGTGTCACCTCCTTTGCCCATGCCCTGTCTCCCTTCCCAGGATGCTGGGGTAAATCACACCTGTACATACTGTTATCCCTATGCTGTAAATGATTAAATTCTTCTGGTGCCTCCCAGGTAAGGCATGCATGGCACAGTCCTGGATCAACACCCTGCCATGGCCACATCCAGGGTCAATCCAGGGCTGTGCCACAGCTGTGCAGGGCACATCAGCACAGGGAAAAGCAAAATGGCAAAGCACAGCACAGTGGGGTCATTGGTTAAAGGACAGAGACACAGAACTTGTTCATCTCTCATTCTCATCCTTCTCCCTCCATTCATCCCCTTGGTTCTCTCTGCAGACACTGCCTGCCTCCCCTTCCCATTCCCAGTGTCCCAGGAAGCACCCAGCCCTGCAGGGATATCTTCCCTTTTTTGGTAGCAAGGCAAAATGTGTTCGGAGAGGACTCAGATCTGCTGCTGGCACAAGGGAAGGATCTTTTCCATCCTGCCCACTGGTTTTCCAAAATGTGCTGTGCTGAAGGTCTAATCTCAGCAGAGATCTCCAGCTCTGGCTGTCGGGTGAGGTGACAGCACTGATGGAAAAGCAGCTTCTCCTCATGTTTGCAAGATGAGTAACAATATTTCAGCCTTTGCTGCCTGTGAAGCAGCGGTTGAGCTGGAGCTGGTCTGAGCGTGTGAGTGTCACTAGCAAGCTCTGAGTCACAAGGACTCAGAAATGCACCCAGGTCTGGCTCTCTCCTGGGATTTTGGGCAGGCACAAACCATTCCAGTGCTTCAGGCACTTTCTCATTAGCACCACAGCTCTGTGGGCTGATCCTCATTAAAACATTTGCCAGGAATGCTGCAGGAAGCAGGTGGGCTGCACTGGTTCCTGGGCAGCCCAGGGAGCCCCTGCCTTGGCCAAAACCCCAGGACACAGCAGTGATGGGGAAAGACAGCCGGACACCTCGGTCTGGGAACAGCCACATCCTCGGAGCTGCAGCCCCAATGCTGGGTGATGAGGGGAGGAAGGCAAGGAGCAAAACTCCATAACCACACCACAGTTTGAGGCTCCAGCCTGCAGGTGAATCCCAGGAAGGCCCCCACAGCCCCCACCTGCACATGACGTTGCGGAGCTTCTCCAGGTTGGCGGGGGTGAAGTACCAGTAGTTGCGGTCACAGCGCTGCACATCCTTCTCGATGCGGTGCAGGTTCACCGTGTACATGTCCAGCAGCTCTGGCTGCCCAAAACAAGAGCACAGTTGATTTGTTTTCTAGAAAAGCAGGGAGAGAGCTGCAAGGGCAGTGGAGAGACAGGCCAGAGCTTGGGTGTCGCTCTGCACCCAACTGCAGGATCAGGACAGGGTAAATGCAGGTAAATCCTGCCCCTCCACTCAGCCCCAGTGAGGCACATCTGGAGTGTGGTGCTCAGTTCTGGGCTCCACAGCTCAAGAAAGACAAGGAGCTGCCAGAGAGATTATTTGGGGTCTGAAGTATCTCTCTGATGAGGAGACGCTGCAGGAGTTGGGCCTGGTCAGTCTGGAGAAGACTGAGAGGAAATCTCATAAATCCATACAAACATCTCAAATCATGTGCCAAAAGAAGAGTGCCAGACTCTTGTCGGGCGTACCAAGTGACAGGACAAGGAGCAATGGCCATAAACTGAAACACAACAACATGAGGAAAAACTTCTTCCCATGCAGGGTGGCAGAGCCCTGGAACAGTGCCCAGGAAGTGCATGGAATGTCTCTCTCTGGAGACATCCCAAACCCACCTGGACACATTCCTGTGTCATCTACCCCAGGTGACCCTCCCTTGGCAGGGGATGATCTCCAGAGGGCCCTTCCCACCCCAACTGCTCTGTGGTCCTGAAGGGAGCCAGGAAGGAACCCCGCCATGCCAGGTCTGTACTTACAGAGTAGGTGACACCCGTGGAGGAGAGAGCAGCTGGTTCACTGCTGGTCAGATCAGTCACAGTCAGAGAGTCCAGCTGTGGGTACAGACTCTCCATCTCTGGCTCCTCAGAGAGGTTGTCCTCACTCTCCACCAGGCTCTGCTTCTCAGCCTCGCTGTCTGCCCAGCTCTCCACCACAGTCAGGGCCACAGTGTCACTGTCACGCAGGAGACCCGCCGAGCCCTCACCCATGGGGACAAAATCCACGCTTCCACCAGTGGGAAATTCGCCTTCCAGGCTGTCTTGGCCCTGCAGCTTCTCCTGCTGGACACTGTCCATGTCTGGTGGGGCTGGCAGGTCGGAGCCAGCAGCCTTTCCCTGGGAGCTGGATGAGGATTTGGTGGTTTCCAGGGCACTGTCCTCATTGCTGAAGCTGCGTTCTGAGAACCCCGATGTGATGGAGAAGTTTTGGGAAGAGGGGTGCCCAGAATCAGGGGAACACGTGCCGTTGGGGACTGTCCCATTGGGGATCTTGCTTTGTTTGCCATCTTCCAACTGAGAATCTCCTTCAGTCTGTTCCACCTCATCCACAGATTCAAACACCTGCAAAGTGGGAAGCATTCAGCAAATGTTGGGAACATGGGCACTACATCCCCAAAAGCTGTGTACTCATAGTGCCCAAGTTCCCAGCAGTGGAGAGGGAGGAAAATCCCCCTTTAGCTTCTTCTGCCTGGATCTGAGTCAGTGCTTGGTCATTTGCACAACTCCAAGCCCACAAACCGCTGCTCCAAAGGACTTTTCTTTGCTTGGCATTATATACTGGGCAGAAATTTCAAGAGGTGTTAAACACCAGGGCATGAACAGAGGGAGCAGCCATGGACCTTCAGGTGTGAGGCCACAGGCAGAGCTGGCAGGTGAACACTGAACACCCCAAGCAGAGCACAGATCTGACATTAGCGGCTCCAAAGCAGGCTGGGGACTCATTTACACAGGTCAGAAATCACCAGAAATGACTGTGGTTGTGGTGAGGGGTCAGCCCAAGGAAAGCAGAGCCATGGGGACAAGGAATGGAGGGAGAAGGTACTTACCTGGGTGCTGGAGCTGGAGTCACTCTGCAGCCGGGCGTGGTTCTGCCGGCCAGAGCTGCAGCTCTGCGAGGACTGCAGGGGACAGGGAAAAGGGCAGTGAGAAGCAAAAGAAAAGAAAAGCAAAGGGGTCAGGGAGAGGGAACTCAAGCAGAGGTGGCACTTCTGCAGGTGAAGAACAAGCAGAAAATGCATCCAGTAAATATCTGACCCATGATTTTCCTGTCACATCCATGGTGCTGCATCACCCAGCACAGTGTCCTGCCTCAGCCCCTGACACTGCTGGGGAGGTGACAAAGCCAAAGTTTTGTCAGGTCAATGCACTTGTTCAAGTGCTGTGTGTTTGGTCTGAAGGAGCTGCTTTCCTCTGGCCTGCATGGAGGTCACGCTGCCTCCCTGGAGTGCGAATTTCTACAAATCTCTGTCCTAATTTGGCAGCAATGCAGCTCAGCCCAGCTCCGTTTACATAAACGATGAAGTCAGGCTATAAAACAGTCCCTCCAAGCATATTCATGCTTTTTTCCTTTTCTTCAAGGACAAATATTGATGTTTTAAGCCAGACTCGGTGGAAACAGCTCCTCTCAAAGTCATGAGCACCCTGTTCTGGCTTCCAGCTGAAGCACAGAGGGAAGGGCTGGGTTTTGGAGGGACCAGCCTGGCTCTGTGGGGTCCTTCTGAACAACCAGCCCACAATGAGAGCAAGTCCTCCCTATTAACTGAGCAGAGGTGCAGAGCATGGCCATGACATCACACACAAACAATAGGATTTTAAGAAAATACAGCACATTCAGAACAGCAGTTGTCCCCACCCTTGTATTGTGGGTGTTTGCTGGGCAGGGCTCTGGTGGGGAAAGGAAGCGCGACAGTTTTCCTCCATTACCATGGGAGCACTTAAAACAGGAAATTTCAGGTTGAGATGGGAAAAGGGGGGAACTTTGCATGTGTTCACTCTGCCAGCTCCCTTCCCACACGTGGGTCCAAAGGAAGAGCCTCGGTGGAGATGCTGAGGGGATAGGAATAATTCCCAGGGCTTCGGCCAATGGAGCAGCACCTCTGAGAGCTGCATCATCCAGTTCCACCCTGCCCCTGGCTCAGACCTGCCTTCCCTGCATCTCTCCCTCTCTGGGCACACACGTAGCCTGCAGGACTGGGGCTGAGCTCATCTCTTTCCCAAAGCACCCACATAAACTTCCCAGAGGGAAGCAGATCAAATCTCCAGTGCTCCCCTCCCCTCTGGGCCAGCAGCCTGAGGTCAGGGAATGCTCTGCCATGCTGGGCTCTTCTCCTCCAAGTACAAAACTCTCATGGAAACACTCCCTGGACTCTGTTCCCAGGACTGCCTTTCCTTTCACAGACTTTTCCCTCCACACCCTTTGGTTTGGGCTGTGGATCTCATTCCTCACTGCATTACTAAAAGCCAGTACCCAAGGTGCTGAGTGTCCCCATGGATGACACAGTGTACTGAGGGTGTGCTGAGGCTTCTTCCATGCTGGAAAAGGGAGCTAGGAAGCCCTGCTTCACAGCCCCTTAGTGCCAGGCACATACTCTTCCTCCTCACCCCTACCTCAAACCATCTTCCATGGAGCTAAGCCTGCCCCAGGAGTGCATCAGGTAATGAATATTTCACTTCCACAGAACACAGCGAGCAACAAGACACACAGGTGGGCACAGGTCAGGGGAGGAGGCTGGGCAGGACCTGTGTCTGCACCTCACAGGGACTCTGGGTGGGCACTGCCCAAGCCCTCACCTCGTTGCTGATGGTCGAGTCCCTGTGCATCATCCTCTGGATGTGGGAGTCCAGACTGGCCCCTGAGGAGCACTTGGCCAGGGCTGCGGCGTGGGACTCCTTCTCGCGCTGCCGGACGATGGCCTCGCAGCCCAGCCACTCTGCCATGGTGTGCTCGTAGCACGCCCGGGTCTGCTCATCAGCCTGGGACACAGGGGGACAGGGGCTGGCAATGGCTGTCCCTGGAGAGCCCCAAACCAGCCCCAGCTGTGCCCCACGCAGGGCGGTGCACATTTGTGTGAATTCGCAGCACACAGCCACGCTTACCCTGCACAAAACGTGGCCAAAATTTGGATGGAAAAACACCCATCCATCTCCTCCCTGCCCTCCCAAGGTGCACAAGGCACTGAACACGAGGAGTTGCACAGGTCAGTGACAAGCTTGGCCCTGCCAATTCCTGCTGACCCAAGGGTTTGCCCCACTCCTACCTACAGCCCAGTCCAGAGTGGACAGGAGGCCCAGTGGGCTCACAGGGGTGTGCTGAGGCTTCTTCCATGCTGGAAAACGGAGTCAGGAAGCCCAATGTCATGCTTCACAGCCCCTTAAGTGCCAGGAACATGTTCTTCCTCCTCACCCCTACTTCAAACCATCCCCCATGGAGCTAACAGTCCTCTGCTACTGGGCAGGACCAGAGCACACCAGTGAGCACACCAAGCTGCTGAGCTGGCAGCACACCCTCACCAACCTCCTTCCTCTCTGCCTCTGTCATCCCAAACTGGTAATGGCCCAGCAGGAAGGGCCACACAGCCTTCCTGATCTCGTGCTGGATCCCGCCGTAGTAGATCAGCCGCAGCAGCTCCTGGTCCTCATAACTCTGTGGGAAGAGCCTGGGTCAGGGCACAGACACAGCCAGGTGGTACAGGTGTCCCCAGCCTGGCTGTGCCACCCATCAGCACCACAGCTGATGCCTCAGGTTTTAGCTTTTATATTTTTCATATTCTTTGCTGCTTTGGTGGGCAGTTCTGAGCTTCATATGAGAGGATGGCAAGCTCTCTTTACAGAGTAGGGAGACAAAACAATTCCTTGGAGACCAAGGACAAATGATCCAAATCTTAGGCCCAAGAGCATAAAAAACATAGATTGAAGAGAGAAAAACAAGGATAGGGCTTCATGGGCTAAAGTTGTAATTGGACAATTAGCTCCAACATGCAAATGGAACAGAACTTGAGAAGTGAGAGACCCTGTAACTGGTCATGCATTTCATGACCATTTTGGTTCATCTTGGGTGTAGCCCTGGCTGGGCTCTTGTGCTGCCCAAGGTGGACCCATTGAGGCCTTTTAATAAATACCTACTTTATTCTTTAACTCTGTCTAGTCTCCGTGTTAGAGAGCCCCCAGCCTCACTGCCTGTGATCCCTCAGACCCCTGCCTGGGCTTAAGCAGAGCCAGAGGCTGCTGTGGATGGACATTTTGGCTCTCCACACCAAAAGTGGCCCACAAAGTCACCAAAGCACCACTGCTGTGCCCCTGAGCTGGCAGCACATCAGGACCCCATTCAGGACAGCAGGACCAGGGTAACAGACACTGCTGGAGGCAGGCTCTGAGCAGAAGCACTTGAAGAAGAGCAGTGCTCACCCCTCAGTTCTCACGTGATCCCTCAGACCCCTGCCTGGGATTAAGCAGAGCCAGAGGCTGCTGTGGGTGGCCATTTTGGCTCTCCACACCAAAGAGTGGCCCACAAAGTCACCAAAGTACCACTGCTGTGCCCCTGAGCTGGCAGCACGTCAGCACCCCATTCAGGACAGCGGGACCCGGGTGACAGACACTGCTGCAGGTAGGGTCTGAGCAGAAGCACTTGAAGAAGAGCAGTGCTCACCCCTCAGCTCTCACATGCCAAGGATTAGGAGCCTCAGGCTCCATGCAGCCTGGGACAGCCTGGCTGACTTCCCTCCTTGAGGAACTTCTTGACATGTTTCACCACCTCCCTGTGCTACACCCACTCCAGTGACACTGCCCTGGGCTCCCCGAGCCCGGCAGAGCTGGTGTGTCCCCAGGGCATGGCCCTACCGAGCTGTCCTGCAGGTATCTGTGCCAGATGTCCACGGTGAGCCCCGCGCTGGCGCTGCAGGGGACATCAGGGGACACGATGTTGTGGTTCACCAGCGCCGACAGGTGGGTCCTCACCGTGGACAGGTGTCTGCAGTAGGCCAACCCTGCAGCAGGAACACCACACCTTCAGCTGGGGAACTCTGGGAAACACGAGGATGAAGAGCGGGAGAAAGCTCTGGTCTCCTGGGGGAGACTCCCTGCAGCCACATCCAGCTCTTGGAGCAGGGAGTCTCCCGGGACAAATCCCTTATCTTGTACCCCCAGTTCTGCTGCTCACAGGGCTCAAGGCTGACAGTCAGAGCCCAGCTGTTTGCTCCCCACCCTGAGCACGTGCAGCAGGCTGGTCCCAGCTCCCCCAGCACCACTCCCAGCCCAGGATCTCAGGACCTCATCCCTTATCCTGTCACACATCCCAGGGCAGCAGCGGGGTGACAAGTACTCACATCCATAGAAGGCCCGGGACAGGATCTGGTACTTCATGTTGTCACACAGCAGCTTCAGCGGAGCTCTGCCAACAGAAACACACAGGATGTGAGGGGAGAAGCTGCTCCTGTGCATCCCCTCAGCCTGGCTTTGATCCCACTGATCCAGCTTTGCCTGCAGAGATTCACTAGTGATGCTGCCCGGGTTCAGAGCAGCAATTCCTGCTGCCAGGCTTGGAGCAGCAGACATGTGCCAGGATGCAGGGACAAGCCTCACCTCAGCCACATCCCAGTGACCCTGCCATGGCTCCTGGGCACTGAGCCCTGGCTCTGCTGTGCCCGTGTGCCCTCGTACCTCTCGTGGCTGCAGCCGTTGGCCGGGCCCCCGTCGGAGGAGCCGCTCTGGGAGCAGGAGGAGCAGGAGGATTTGCGGGTGCTGGGCTGCCACATGGGGGGCAGGACAGCCCCTGGAGTGTCCATCAGGTCCTGGGGCACTGCAGGAGGGCAGAGAGGAGCATCAGCTACAGCCTGGCACTGCCCTGCAGTCAGGGAGCTACAGAGAGAGCTTTCATTGGCAAATGCAGCATCCCGCTCTTGCCAAGGAGGTTCCAGCAACCAAGCAGGAGCCACCACAGGGAATCACAGCACTGGCGAGCTCAGGAGAAAGGAAGGGGAACAAAGAGCACTGATGAGAGAGAACCATTGCTAATTAACCAGCTAATTCAGAAAGCTGATCTTAAACTGCTTTGTGCTGACCAAGGCAGAAACCCAACACCCAATGCAGAGGCTCCAGAGGGAAAACAGGATTGAAATCAGCTGCTGCCCCAGGAAGAGTGGATTACTGGAAGGGAAAAGGTCCATCCCTCAAAGGATCCCATCCAAAGTTCAGGGAAAGAAGGGAGCACCCAAATCACAAGACAGGAGATGAAGACTTGGACAAAGAGGTTGAGAGGGACAGCAGGAGCTCTGCATGTTGTCACTTGTTAATCCCTGCTTAAACTCAAAGTGCTGCTGCAAAGGCCTCGGGTCCTGCTCAGGTACCACCTACACACAGCCCAGGCCATGAGGAATAATCCTTTTTACTCCTCCTTGGAAATTAAATTGTGGTAGAAATTTCATCTTCTGGCTGGGCAAAGGTGTCCTCACTCTCCCTTGGTCTCCCTGGCTCTCCCTGCTTGTGATAAGGAATAAATGACATTGGCAGGAAAAATACCGAATTATTCCCACAGAAGTCTCTTCCCCTCCCACTGAGGGAGTGACAGTCAGTGGTGACGGGGACAGCTCTGCAGGAGCTCTCAAGTGACAACACAGGTGAGCTGAGCACCAGACCCAACCAACAGCTCATTACACTGATGCCAAGAGGGGCCCAGAGCGGCACGGAGAGCTCGGGATCTGCCAGGGAGACTCAGACACCATTTGGGGATCACCACCATCTTGCTTCCAGCTGGAATCTTCATGATCTTCCCTCTCCCAGCAGTCACAGGTGCAAGGAATGGGTGAAAAGCACCATTAATGGCAACTAGAGACACAGAGAGAGGACAAAGGCACCAGTGAAAGGGGAGAAAGGAAGAATCTGTGGAGAAGAGAGAATGATGCAGTTCCACCCCTGGCTGAGGAGGTGCAACAGGAACAGCACAGGCTGTGATGATGCCAGCTGAGGAGGTGGCAGCAATTAATTTCCCAGAAAATGTGGCCCCCAGCATGGAATTTTAAGGGGTAGATCAAAAGGCAGCCACAGAAAGGCACATCTCTATCTGCTGTTTTAGCTCCAATCAGGTTTTTATCTGACTCACTGAATTGTGTTAGTCAGCTGAAGGCAGGGAGAACCAAGTATAATCTCAACTGACGTTATGGAGGAGTCACAGCGGATGTAATTTCTCCCTCATAGCCTCCAAAATGTAGGAAAAAGGTTCCCATCCAATTTCAGAGCTTTTTTAAAAAACACTCCACAAGTCTTCCATCTAAAACTCATTCTCTCCCCCTTCTGAAGTCACCTATGATGTCCCCAGAGGTCAGAAAACAGTTCTTGGCACCTCACAGAAGAGCGAGGAGATATGTACAGACATTTCAGCCAGGTTCAGGTCATTCACCACCAGACACGAAGAGGCATTTCTGCTTTGGAGAATCCAGCAGCATCCCCTCCCTCCAGTTAGGGACTGAAGGCAGTGGGTGCAGCCTGGCAGCACCCAGGGCAGGGTGCTGACACCTCCCCTTCGTGCTGCAGGAGCCACACTGAAGGAACATCACTGGATTTAGTGCAGCCTGGGGGCAGCAAGAGAAGAATCATCCCTGGGGGCTTGTGATGGCAGAAGGTGGCCCTCAAGTGACCAAAGTGAACCTTTTTACTGATATTATGTGGGTATTATTAAGAGGGGGTTTTGCTGACCATTAATGCTGTTGTGCAGCTGCAGAAACAAAGGACTCAGTACCAAGTGGAAGTTAAAACAAAAACAAAAACCAAAAACAAAACAAAACCGACAAAAACCAACACAAAAACAAAAGATAGAATCATTGAATGATTGGGTTGGAAGGAAATTTAGAGATCATTTATTTCCACCCCTTGCCATGGGCAGGAACACCTTCCTTGATCCCAGGTTTTTCCAAGCCCCGTCCAGCCTGGCCTTGGAGCCTTCCAGGGATGGTGCAGCCACATCTGGCTGTTCTCTGTGCCAGGGCCTGCCACCCTCCCAGGGAGGAATGATGACATTTCAATCGGGCAGCACTGGCACAAGCAGAGCCCCTCCCCTGGAACCACTTCCTGGTTTGCCCCGTGCCCACCAGCGCTGTGTCCCAGCTCCTCCAAGCCCCCCAAAGGCTGCCCTGCACTCACCAAACTCTGTCTGTGTCCCGGGGTAGATGATCCTGAAGACATAATCCGTGGCTTCGTCATCTTCCTTGTCGGACGCGGACTCGGAGGAGCCCTGGGGGCTTCGCTTCTTCAGTTTGGGGAACACCTTTCCCTGGGGAGCACAACCTGCCCTTCACGAGCCACCCGTGTCCAACCACGCCCTTCCCAAGCTCCTGCTCCACCTGCTTTGCCATGTCTACACACTCCCTGGGCTGGAGCAGCCCCTGGATCAAGTTTCCAGGGGCAGGTGAGTCCCTACTCCTGCTGGACACAGGGTAGGTGCAGCCCAAAGAGCCAAACCCTCATGGGCAGCCCTCCCACAGCACCCCCCAGCTTTCCAGAAGGGTCTGTTTAGCTGGGCAAGGCCATGAGCTAAACCCACCCACCACATTTTAATATTAATTAATTGAATTTATTAATTTGGGGAGGGGATGATTTAAAACACAGCAGCCGCTAATGCCAGGCAGAGGGTCCACAGGGGAACCCCAGCAGGAACAGGCACCCACCTTTCCCCGCTGTGACCAGAGGGGTGGATCCAGCTGCCCGTGGGGCAGGAGGCCATTCTCCAGGCAGGACAGGAACTGCAGCAAGTGTCCTCCACGGGGGAAGCGCAGAGGTGGCCTCTGGATGCCATCCTGGCTCACCAGGACAACCGTGCCACCACTGTCTACTGCTGGCAACAGGGAGAGCAGACACAGCCATCAGTGAGGGAGACAGCACAGGCAGGAAAGCTCAGGGAATGGAAAATAAGGACTTTCTTCCTTGTGTGGATTCTTCTCTAAGTCCATGATAAGACAGGCCCTGGAAAAGGCTTGCTGGGATCACCCCCCTGGAAATCAGAGCCCTGCTCTGCAGGCAGCACTCCCAGCCAAGCACCACAGCCAGGAGCTGGGGGAAGACTTTTCTAGAAGCACTTAAATCATAGTGACCACCCAGAACTCTGGGGAACTGCCCTGGAGCCGAAGCAGTGTCCCAGAGTAAAGGGATCCTCTGTGTCCCAGAGGTAAGGGATCAAGAGCCAGGTGTCACAGTCCCCAGCAGCCCCAGCTGTGGCCTTACCCTGCTGGTGACAGTGCAGGTACACGATCTCCTCCAGGCGAATGGTCATGGCATAGTCCCAGTACACGCTGGAACAGAGGGACAGGGAAGCTGTGAGCCTCAAGGGTGTGAGAGGCTCTGCTGCTGCTCACAGCAGCTCCAAACTCTGCTCCTCATCCCCTGGCAGCAGCCAAAGCCACAGAAAGGATGAGATCCCAGAGCAGTGATGCCAGCCTGATGAGTGACAACATGCCTCCAGAGCCAGGAACTGTCCCTGCCACCTCAGCTCAGCCAGGGCCAGTCCTGTCCCACCTGCCCTGGGTGGTTTCTCTGCCCTCACACTGTTCCCAGGCACAGGAAATGTGTCCATGGATGCTGACAACTGCAGGGAGGGACTGGAGCCCTGCAGAGCTGAGCACTCTCCTCTGAGCACCCCAAGAATCCTTCAGGAGCAGCCCTGGAGCCCCAAGGAAAAGTGCAGTGAGAAATGAGGAAATGTGCTGCTGCTCTGCCCCAGGGAGGGGAAATAAACCCTCACAATTTGTGGGTTTTTTTCAGAGCTCACAACAGATTTGGTCTCAGCTGCTTCTGTTCAAGAACTGTCTCAGCACAGGCATCTCAAGGTGTCTGAGCAGATCTAGAACATGCTGGAGAGCTGGTGGCCACCACACAGAGCAGAGAGGCAGGGTTTCATTCCTGTGGAGAGCCCAGCACTGCTGTCCAAGGGTGTCAGCACTCAATCACATCCCACTTCTTTGCAACAAAGCAAATCTCCAGATTCTGAGCAGCAGCAGCATCTGCCGCTTTGTAAAAATAGTGCTTAAATAACATTAAAATCAGCTCGTGAAGGACAGGAAGGTGTGCAAGAGTGACTCCTTGTACAGTCATACTTACTGTGCCATCTGCCTCCTCTCTTCCTTGGTCACGTCTTGACACTGGGAATTTTTAGAGCTTAGGCTGATGCCCAAGGCAAGAACTCAGAAAAGGAGTGTAGAGATGAAAACAGATTTTAGGGGAGGGTACCAGGCAGAACTGAACGGCCCAGGGGCCAAGAAAGGGGAGATGAAAAGTACACAGGTAAACAAAAAACTACAACTGACAATGAATGAAACTGAGACCAAGTTTTGATGAGGATCTCTAGGTCAAAGCATCAGTGTCCTAAACACTCCCACCTTCCTGGAGCCAGGAGAAACCTGGGAGCACAGCATGCTGGGAGGCAGGGAGAGCATTCCCCTCAGAAAATCCCCCAGGGCAAGAAACAAAACCACTTTGTGTGTTTTGGAACACTCCCTCTCTGAGCACTTCCCAGCAGAGACACATCTCACACCACCTCCTGCCAGCCTCTCCCTGCCTCCTTCCCATTACAGCCTCAAGGATGATGGTGTTTCTTTGGGAAAACAGTGATGGCTTTGCATCCAAACTCTGACCCAGGGGAACACTCCCCGCCCTGCTCTGGCACACTCAGAGCCAGTCACCTCTTCTCGTAGTCCAGGTCCCCCACGGAGCCGTTCATCAGCTGGTTGGGGGTCCACTTCAGTGCCATGATGTCAGCAGTCTGGTGAAGGGACAGATACCCCGGGATTGCCTCCATGTCATCTCGCTTGGGAGGAGAAACACAGTGACACACTGAGCTGGAAGACGCACAGAGCCCTGGAGCCCAGTCGCGGCCCCTCACACAGCCCTGCCCACCCAGTCACAAACAGGGAGGAACCCGCTGTGTCCCTGGAAAAACTCCTAGTAGAGACTCCAGGACACCTCAAGGCCTTGGAAAAGGGCTGAGAGCAACTGCCCAGCAAGGAAAACCTAATAGCTCCACCTAAAAGCAGTTGGCACTTCATCTGCTTGACTACAAGAAGCAGGAGGAGACAGGAGAAGGAGTTTTGTGGTAAAGAATGGGCAGGGAGAGGAGCCTGTGCTTGCCAGGCTGGAGCAGCGCTCTTCCATCCCACTGGGAGGATCCATGTCACCAAGACCTCCACAAACACAATCCATTCACTGCCTTCCCTGATGGAAAATGTGCTTTTCTCCATCCAAGAGCAGATTGGGACAGAACAAGGTGCTGAGGGGCAGAGCAGTGTTTCCAAGGCCAGGTTCCCAGCAGAACTCACCGGCTGCACCAGGACGTTGTTCTTGCCGTACAGGAGCGTGGCTCGGGAGTTCTGGTGCAGGGACTCCACGTAGTCCCTGGCAGACAGGGATGGCCTGTCATCCATGCTGCCACTGGAATGTCTTTTCTGAATCTGCAAGAGACACACTCACAAATGTGAGGTGATCACAGACACCCTCTGGCTTCCCAAAAGCTTCTCTTGAACCTCATTCCCTCCTCACTTATGAGAGTCACTACTAGAAATCTTTCCCTCAGGGGTCCTCTAAGATCCCTTAGGGGTCCTCTAAGGGGATTCCATACTCTGTCCAAGCTCAGAGAAGCCCCAGGAGTGACTTTTTTTTGCAATGCACAGAGCAGATTCAGCTTTCTGTTCATACATGATGATCTCAGGGACACAGACCCCGGCATGCAGTGCCAGGAGGGGCTGGCACACCAGTGCTCTCCATGGGCCACATTCCCAGCACCTCTGCCTCAAAGACTTCCGTCATCAGAGAGCTCCACAGGCCTTTCCAAGCAAAGGGAGCCCAGATGCTGAGGATGTGGGAGGAGCAGAGAGGTTTATCCCCCACTCACGCAGAGCGCCGGGCGCTTGGTGGGCGAGTCCTGGCGGCAGTGGGAGCTGTGGATCCTGTGCCTCTGGACCAGCTCATCCGCAGAGGGATCTGTCCAGAAGTGGTCAGCAGTCTTCATCTTGGTGTATTCCAGTGCACAGGGCCCCACTGTGGAGAGGAACACCCCAAACATAAGGGAGCCATCCTTGTTCCCACGGCCACGGTCACCTCCCGCATCTGCGGATCACAGATTTGGGAGCATGGGTTTGGAAAGCAAGGAGGGAAAGCAAGTAAAGCAAGTGTTACCCAATAAAGATGCTAGTATTGGCCCATCCACAGGATCCATCAGGAGAGCTTCCTTCTCATAGTACTTACTAGAAGAAATAAAGGACAGCAGAATGCTGGAGCACTGCAAAGTCATAGACAGTGGTTTAAATCCCCATCGTGCACTTCTCTTTCTCTATCACCCCTTGATGGGGGGAGGGCAAGAAGCCCTAAACAGGCTGAGAAATTCCTGGGGAGCAGCAACCCTCCTGCAGCACATTGCAAGCATCACCATCTCCTAACTAACCTGTCCCAGCACAGGACACCTGAGCACGCAGCTCCCAGAAGACAAGGACAATGCAGCCCTGACAACCCAGCCATCACCAGGGCCAGTGTGGCCTGTCTGTATTTCAGGGAGTGCACAGTGGTCACCAGCAGCAGGGCATCCATCAGAGATCCCAGGATGGGCACTGAGTGACACACCTGGCCTGTGCCATGCAGGGACTTCCCTGGCCCCTGTGGATACAGGTATTTCCCAGCCAGCAACACCCCCAGGGCCATGGGCAGGACATGGGTGGGCTGTGCCAGTGCTCACCTGCTGTTCTCCACCAGGTAGTGCACGATTTTATCCAGGACCTTCTCGAAGAGGGCTGTGCGGATCCAGAGGTGCTTGATGGCCTGAGGAGACAGGTTGGGCAGCTTCGGCACCTTGCGCACGTTCTCCGGGACCCCCTGGGCTTGATTTCTCCTTTAGAGGTACAAGACAAGAGACAACAACACCACAGGCTCACCCCTGAACTATGAGGGAGCCCAGGGCACTCCTGCCACCAGGGGTTTGGGGGTGTTGACCGTGGTGGCTGGGGGATCACAGGGAATTGTCTGGAACAGAGCTCTGGAGGTGCTTCCTGTCCCTGTCCCATCCCCTGCTCCAGAGGGGCCACACGTGCATTTGAAGCCAGACGTCACCAAATCAGTTCCCCACTGTAAAGACAACCCCAGAACTCTGCTCTCCCTCAGCACAGTCCTCCAGCCCACACACATTTCCACGGCTGAGCTCTCAGGCAGAGCAGCTCATCTTAGGACAGCTTAAAATTCCTGCCCGCAGGTAGCTGCTCCATCCATCTCCCTGCTAATTGTCCAAGGATGAGTAATCCTCTCCCAAACAGCAGCTGAATTACTGCAGCTTCGAGCCCTGCACACTGGGACAGGCCAAACGTGGTTCCAGCTGGCTTGGTGAACTGCTCCATAAACTGTGACAGCTCAGGAGCAGCGTGCTCAGCTGTCCCTGAAGCACCAGAGCAGAGGCAGAGAGACTTAGAACTTGTCCTGCTTAAACCACAACCACAACTCAGTCTCCTAGAACAGCAACCAGTTTGGTCAAGATATAAAAAACCCAGGAGAAGACTGAGGGACCAATTCCTCCTGTTGAGGCTCAAGTTGGACCCAAACCACACTTCCCACCCCGAAACCCGAGTGAGCAGAGAGGACTGGCAGCCAGGCTGGTGCCTTACGCGTTCTCAATGAGCTGCTCCAGGTCCTGCACCTTCCTGCAGAGCTCCTCTGCCAGGGGGAAGCTCTTGCCCACCTTCATGAAGAGCGCTGCGATCTTGTTGCTGCGCAGGAACCCGGCCGCCCTCCGCTTCAGCCCGAACAGCACACAGCATTCCACGGCGGCTGCAGAGAGCACAGGCCTCAGGATCAGGATATCCCCAGCTGGAAGGAGCCACAGGGATCACCCAGTCCAGCTCTTTGAGGGATTCCATCAATGGAACACACATTTGTTAGCACCATGCAATTTTGGCTTTAGTAGCACCATGCTCCACCCAACTGAGCCAACCTTGGGTCACTGGAGCACCTTCCCTATGGAGTCAGGCTGAGAGAGCACAGGCCTCAGGATCAGGATATTCCCACTTGGAAGGACCCACAGGGATCACCCAGTCCATCTCTTTGAGGGATTCCATCAATGGAACACACATTTGTTAGCACCATGCTCCACCCAACTGAGCCAACCTTGGGTCACTGGAGCACCTTCCCTATGGAGTCAGGTGGAGCTGTTCAGAACCTGTCAGAAGGTTCTGTTCAGAACCTTCTGTTCTGGGGAAGACAAGGCTGAGTGGAGACCTTACAGCACCCCCAAGGATCTGAGGGGATTACAAGGAATCCAGAAAAGGACGGTTCATCAGGACCCCTCCTACTAGACCAGTTTGCTCTAAGCTTCATCCAGTCTATCCTTGAACAGTTGCATGGATGGAAGCTCCTGAAATTCCTCAGACAGTAAATCTGAAGCAGACATCCCCACCTTGGCTTCAGGAAACTGTAATCCCATCCCACATGGGAATTAACAAGCACCACAGCTTCCCCAGGCAGGGCAATTGCTGTGGTGGGCAAACAGGCTGACTCTCTCCTTTTTGTGGGCTTTTTTAATGTGGTTTCTTGTGGATTGTGGAGAAACCAGCATCTCCCTGATGTTTTCCCTTCAGCCCAGTCTGAGGGATGGGCACAGCTGGAACAGGAGGTTTCACTCCCTGTGCTGGGATAGTGCAAGTCAGGAGGAGAAAGCTCAGGAGCAAGGACAGGCAGCCTGAGGGTTTATAAAGCAGCACAGGAAATGGGGCAACTTTCCCCAAAAAATCTCAACGTTCATACAAACATTTCTCTGAAAAGCTGAAAGGAACAAAGACCCTGGGGATAAACCACAGGCAGTGCCAGCAGCTCAGTCTGGCTTTGGGGACTCTGTTGGCACTCAGGGACACGGGGACTCATTAAGCCCCTGTGAAAGGCAGTGCCTGACTCCATGTCCTGAACTCTGCCCAGAGGCACCCACCAAACCCCAGTGAGTGCCCAGACAGCCCCAGACACCTTCCCTGCCCTGCCAGGGTGAGCAGGGATCCCAGGAACCAGCAATGACTCCACAGAAAGGTGCAGACAGGCTCAGCCAGCAGCTCCTTCCCAAAGCCCCCTGGGAGGGCTCAGGATGGATGTCTGGTGCCAAACACAGACTGATTAAACAGGCTGATCAAAGCACTGGAAAATCACACGGACCCACAGTCCTCAGGCCCTTGATCCAGGTCTGACAAGGAGTTCTGCTCCCTCCTCCTGGGGAAGCCAGCGCTGCTGAGCTGAGCCTGGGTGCTGCTTCCCCTCCTGCCTGGAAAGGCACACTTCCCTACAGCTGAACAACTCCATGGAGACACAGAAAAAGGCATTCCATTCAGCCCCATCTCAGCAGCTCCGAGGCTGGGAGAGGCTCATTATCCTGCTCTGATCCATGCCTGAGCTCCGTGCCCAGCAGCAGCATCCAAGGGGCAGTGAGACACAGCCTGTGCTGGCAGAACAACAGATTTGGGCCCCCAGCAGCCAGGCAGAGCCACTGCATGGACACCTGGCTTTGAAACCAGGCCCTGCACAAGCCCTCTCAAAGCCCAAAGGGTTTCATCTGTCCCAGGATTATATGCAGCTGGAAATAAAATAAAATCCAAAGCACTCCATGGCTTTGCCAGAAAAGCCAACATCTCCCTCATTTGTCCTATGCTCCATGGCTGAAATACAAGTGACAAACAGCCCCACCTGCCTGGGACTGCACCAGGGGTGCCCATTTGGAGTGCCCAGCTCAGGCTGGTGCTGAAAGCTCAGGTACCCACAGAGGGTGAGCAGCCAGGGCTGCTCCTGCTGCAATCCCAAGAAAAGGAGCTCCCAGTGCCACCAGCTCCATTCCAAATTCCCAGCAGACAAACAGGAACACTGGTGCTCTCACTGTGCTCAGGTCACAGGCAGCAAATCCCAACTCCTGCCAGGCAGGGAGAAATCTCAGCTCCTGACAGGCCTCTGGCACAGAGCATCCAGAGCTGTCAGCAGCATCTGTTCCCAATGCCAGATCTGAACCCATGCAAAACTCCTCTCCTGCTGGCAAACTACAGGGAAATGTGCAGCTTCCACAGGAAAAACTCTCCCCATGCTCTAGTAAATCCAGGGGTGATGGCAGGATTTTTAAATAGGATGAGTTTTGGAGCTCAGTTTTGCCACCACTGCAAAGAGATTCTCCTCACCCCTCAGGATGCAACTTCCAGCAGAGCCAGGATACAGAGGATAATAATAATATAATATAATATAAATATAATAATAGATATAATCTCCAGCAGATGCACATGGTGCAGGGGCCCTGCTCAGCCACACCCAGCTAAGGGGGCAGCTTTGACTCCTGCCAAAAGACTGAAGATATTCCTGAGCTGCCCAGAGCTCTGACATGATCCAAACCCCTCGGGCTGAGCAGCAAACCCTGGGCTCCCCATCAGCCTCCCAGGGCAGCCTGGACGTGACAGATGCCAGCTCGTGTTTGTCTGCTCCAAACCCCCCCTCAGGGCACCACGGGGGCTGCTGCCCTTCCCTGCCAGACCACTGCCTCCATCCCCAGGGCTCCGTGAGGAGGGCTCTGCTGGGAAGGCAGCTCTCTCCAGGGAAAAGGGCAGCTCTGGCAGCCAGAGCCAGGCGTGCAGCACGCTCTGCTTGGCAGGGAAAGGGGTTATTTATAAGCTCACCCAGCTCCTGGAGAGCCACAGCACCGGGGAAGGTGAAGGAAGCATTCCAGTGAGAGGAACAGCAGATGGAGCAGGAGGGGGACGCCAGGAACCAGGGAAATGCAGCAGCAGCATCTTAAGAGGCCAGAAGGAACCAAGGAGCCCTTCGTGCCTGGATGCCTCAGCTCCCTGTCACAGGAGCCTATAAATAATGCCAGTTTGAGAAGCCTCGTGCTGCACAGAAAAGCAGGGAATGAGTCACACCTGGAGGTCTGCTCTGCTCTTTCAAAGCCACACAGGGGCCACGGGCTGGGAACAGGCTCCTGAGCATCTTTGATGTGAGGGCCCAGCAGGAAAGGAGAAAGCCCAGCCTCCTTTCCATAAACTCCTATTCCATAACAGCAAAGAAAAGATTTGGACTTGACAGACTTTCAGGCGGGTCAATTCTCAAGGGAATTTAAAAATAAAATATTGTTTCTAGCCCTTCCTCAATGGCTGCACACACTGCCAGCATCCCTCCCTCTTTTGACACATCCCTGTATATTTTAAGCACAAAGACCTCAGGGACTCTGACCTCTGCCAGAACAATCCATCCCCTGGCACTCCCCACTCCCCCAGCCCAAGGTCCTGGAGCTGGAGAGTGTTCCCAGGAGTGGCACAGCACCAAAACCCCCAGTCCAGGCCAGCACGGGAGACTCACCACAAAAGGAGATGATGTGGCTGCTGTCCTCATGCACAAACTTCCTCGTCACAGCCTCCTCCATGATCTGCTTCACCTGCAGGACAGAGGCAGTCAGGGAAAACATGGAATTTCAGCCGTGGACCTGCGGTGGGGTGGGTGCACAGGAGCCTCCTCTGCACCCAGGTTTATCCCAAAGGCACAGGAGAGCTCATGGAGGATTGATGCAGCTCTGCCTGCTGAGCATCACCAGCTACTTCAAAAAGTCAGGTATAAAAAAAGGGTTGTGTCATTTCTGAGAAACTTCACAGTAGGAAAACGGTGAGCTGAGGATTAACTGAGGGAACTGAGCATCACTTAGATAAAGTCATCTAATAAAGGTACCCAAATCTCATATTTAGGGCTTCTACAGCATTGTTCTGTTCTCTCATTTTGTTTGACAAACTTCTTGTGACACGGCTGTCCCAAATGACTGCAACTCTCCATCAAGGCCTAATTCAGTGATCACCTGGCACCAGCTGTGCCCAGGAATTCCATTTGCACAGCAGTGCCAGCAGCTCTGCCCTCTCTGGCTCACAACTGGCACTCAGCTGATCCAGAGGAAGCTGTCACTTAGTGCCCATCAGGGGCACGGTTAGGGGACAAAAACAAACAGGACCCTACACAAACTAGGAGGGAATTGCTGCAGGGAGCAGACAGGAGGTCAGAGCCAGCAGGTCAGCTCTGGCAGCAGAGTGGTGACTTCCATCCCCAGCTGTCACTCTCCCTAATCCTGCTGCAAGCAGCCAAAGCCCAGCTGAATCTTCGCTCCTTAAACATTCACTTCCCAACCACTTTTCTTTTCAAACACAGCTGCCAGCATGCCTGGATCTCATCTTCCAGTGCCTCTGTAACATCTTGGTTTGGGAAAACACAGGGGGAAGTGTTGCCAGCACGGAGCTGAGGGTGTGAAGGAAGCTCTGCTTAGCGAGGTGCTCTCCCTGAGGGCACAGGGAGGGAAATACTGCAGGTCAAGACTTGGCCAAGCAAACCTTGGCACGGATGAGAGACCTTTAATGGCATCTTTTGGGGAATTAAACTCCTCTGCAAGGTGTAATCAAGGTCAGTTATGCACAGCTGACAGCTCCATAAAGGAAATCCTGAGTATGGGTTAAGGGCAGAGTCCTCTCTGAGCCAAGAGCTGCTCTGTCAGAGCCATCAGGTGAGATGCCAGCACTGCTCCCTGCTCGGTGACTAACAGAGCCCTGAGACTTCCCTGCATGCCAGCAGCTCGGATGAGCTGCTACTGAGTCAGGAAGTCACAGCAAGGAATGTCACTGGGATGTGGAGCTCGGGACTGGAGGTGCCTCGGAGCGCTGGGAAATTCCAGCCCTGTGCTCAGAGCAGTGACTCCACTTGCATGAACACCCCAGGGACCAGGATAAAGCTCCATCTTCCACCTCAGTGCTTTATTGTGTCCTAAAACTGCTGCTGTCCCTGGTCAGGGCACCTCCTGGTGCTCCTTGCTTCCTTCCTCACCTCCCACCTGCAGCTTCCCCCTTGTCCCACGCTGGGCACAGGGAAGGGGCAGCTGCAATCCTCACTCCTTGCTCCAGCACCATTTTACTTCACATTCCAGCAACAGAAACAGGGACAGAGCCAGTCCCAGCAAAGAGGAGAGGAGCCTCTGTCTCCCACACAGCCCCAGGCTTGGATGCAATAGCGGAGCAGGGATGGGGAGCAGCACACACCTCGTGTCCACCACCACGTGCTGCCCAGAGCTGCCCCTTTCCCTCCACCTGGAATGCCCAGCAGAGATATTCTGACATCCTGCCTAGCCCAGGAGCCAGCCTTGACCACTCCTGGTAGGGAGGTTCACATCTTAGAGCCCTCAGGGATTCCCTGGAATTTGGCTGAGCCCCCCTGGTCCAGATGGCTCCTGAGCCTCACCCAGGCAGGCTGAGCTTCCTCAGGCAGCAGGACTCAGCCCTTCTCTCTCACACATCCAACTGATCTCCCAGAAAATGACCACACACAGATATTAAATGTACACTCACGGCAGCACTGGTGGTATCAGGATTTTACTCCCCCCACCTCCACAAAATACGCCTGAAAATCAATGTGCAGAGTCTTTACCAGCTTCTGATTCAATCAGGAAACATTCCAACATCAGCAGTATATTAAAATATTTGAAATTTCAGTACTTTGACACGATGCCTGCAGTGCCTCAGGGCCTTCCCCAGGGCAGTGACCATCTGTCTGTCCAGGCCTGGGGACCATCCAGGACAGCAGGACACGGCTCAGAGTGGGCATTTCAGTGCCAACACTGCACAAACCACCTGCACGCTCCAGGCACAAACAAAACACCTTCCAAGAGACACAGTTTAGTGGAAAATTACTCATTAAAACTAAAAAAAAAATTTAAAATTGCATTGCATTGACTGAGGTTGTAATGCTAAAAATAAATCAAGTCTAAAGGACTGGAAGTGGAAAGGGCAACAAGGGCACTCACCTGGTGTGTGATAAACACAAACACCAGCCCCAGCACGGACAGACAGACAGACATGGCCTTGTAACACAAAACAAGGGATATCTTGGAGTTCTGGAATGGTTTGGGTGGGAAAGAACTTGAAGCTCATCCCATTCCAGCCCTGCAGTGCAGGGACAGCTTCCCCTACCCCAGGCTGCTCCAAGCCCCGTCCAAGCTGGCCTTGGGCACTCCCAGGGAACAGAATCAACACTTCCAGGGAATGGAGCCAGGAGATCCCAACTTCCTCTACCTACCAAGAAAGTTTTCCAACAAAACCACCTTACATTCGCCCAAACAGACACAGCTGGCATCTGCAGGACAGCTCAGAGCCAGAGAAGCCCAAAGCTCCTGACAGATCTCCTGTCTGCAGACCCCAAAGGACTCTCCCCCCACAGCTGGGATCTGCCAGGGGATTTGTGACACCCTGGGGACAGGGACGTGGCTCAGGCACACTTGGCTCCCTCCACAGAGAGGACTGGAACAGCCTCTGAGTGTGCTGCATTTTAATGCTAATTCTCAGACTGCAGCCAGAACAATCCCAACAGATGAAGCTGCCCACTCTGGATCCCATGCCAGCCTAGGGAAATGAGATGTTTGCTCTCCTTTTATTAGAAAGGAAATTAAAACAGCAACTAATAATTTTGCTGTAGGTAAACTCGAGAGGAATAGCATCAAGTATTCCACAACAGCACAAACAGCCCCCCTGGCTCCAGCTGGGAGCACAGGACAAGTCCCCCTGCAAAGGGAAACCAAACCCTCACCTTTCCAACAACCCCAGGAAGGGATGAAGGATGAAGGCTTAGACCTCTCTGCTACAAAATTCCCAGGGATATGCATCATCCAAAGTCCAGCTTTGCTGTCACCCAGCCCTGCTGTCATTTACACTGCTGGAACAAACCAAATATTGTCACAGCCACAGCCACCACCGAGGTGCAGGGGCCAGGAGCACACCAAGAACTGCAGGTTTAATTAGTCCAAGGCAATACTGACTCTCAACTGTTGTGCCTGGTCAGGTTTTTCCCTACAGAAGCTGTACTCTGGATCATTTGCAGTCCATTTTCCTGCCTCTTGCAAAGCCTTTCACTGGTTATTAAGGCATTTCTGTGGAAGCACAGCACCTCCTGTCTATTTGGCCAAGCTCACAACTCTGTGAAATTGTTTACAGCAAGCCAGATGCAAACAGAGTCCCCAGGGAGATGCTTTTCCCAGTCCTGTTCCAGGGTCAAGCTCACTCACGTTACCACAGGCTGAGGGCAGCTGTGGGGATGCTCCTGGCCACCAGATCCAGGAATGGGCCTGGTTGCCATATCCAGCACCAAAAAAAAGCCTGGATGAGCAAAAAATGTGGCACAGCAGCCACACACTGGAGCCAAAGCAGTGGGAGGGCATCCCATCCCAAACCCAAAGGATTTACAGCAGAAAATAGAGATGGAGATGAGGATGGAGATGAGGATGGAGATGAGGATGGAGATGAGGATGGAGATGAGGATGGAGATGTCTCCTCTCCCTCTGAACACCCACCTCTACCCAGGGTGTCAGATCAGGTGGATGAGATGATGCAGGACCGGAGCCAGGAAGCTGCACTGCCTGTACCCCCTCAGAATAATGGAATTCATCACAGAATCATGGAACTGTTTAGGCTGGAAGAGACCTCCACGATCACTGAACCCAACCATTCACCCAGCACTTCCAGTTTCACTGCTCCTGTTCAATCCACCTGGCCTAGGAGAACCTACAAGCCCTCAAAAGCCACCAAACAACAAAATAATTTTAAAAAACCCCAAACCACCCAGTCCATTGATGAAAGAGGCTTTAAACTTGATTTGCTTTTGTACATTTGCTTTTCAAATTCTTTTCCAAGCTGGAGCTTTCTCATTCTCATCAGCGTTCTCATCACTTCTTTGATTATGTGTTTGAAGTTAATTCTTGCACTTAAAAAAAAAATCCCATTTCCCTTGTCAGTTTTGGTGCAACGAGTGCATTTGGGAATTCCCTGCTGTGGTCTGAGCTCTCCTGTAACTGCTTCTCCCAACCAAGGTCTCTTTCCATGAAAAATCCCCGCGGGAAGCAGCTCCCCATGGAATACTGCAGCACTTCTCAGGTGTTACAGAATACTGAAGATGCAGCACGAGGACACCCCCAGGCAGGGCTGTATTTGCAAGGACAAACAGCCTCCCCTGCACTGCAGGGGGATGTTTCCCAGCAGGAATGCTAGCCTGGTTTTGCTGGATGTACCAAAGGTGTCCCAGGCAAAGCAAGTGCAGAATCTCTGCTCAGCCCCAGGACACAAAGACATTTTTCCAAACCCCAAGTCCTTCTGGTGCCCACAGGAATGTGCAGGGAATGCTGGAGGGAAATCCTGGGATATTTCAGCACTTTGCCCATGCTGGAGCTGAAGCCACTTTTCCAGCTACAGCAGAACTCCTCAGACTGAAACCTCTCACCAACCAGATTTATCCTCTCATTTGTAAATGAAATGTCTGCCTGTTGCCTGTCTTGTTGCTACAACGCCCTTTTTTAGCAGCCTTGTTGATAAAATTCACATTTTCAAGCTCGGTGCTGCAGGATTTCCTGTTTCTCCTGCCTTACCACGTTCCCCACCTTTCCCTGATGATCCCAAAAGCAGGAGCCAGACCCTGCTCAGCACCACCCCCAGCTGCAGCCACTTCCCCAAGAGCTCACTGCCTGACCATTAAAAAAAAAAAAAATCCCAATTAATTGTGCTGGGATCAGTTAAAACACCCCCAGCTGCAGGGCACAGGCAGCATTTACACCCTGAGACATTTTGGTGGCCCTGGCACGAGGGGACAGCACAGGGACAGCTCTGATGGCAGCAGGCACTTGCCTTGAAAGCCATTTGGCAGCTCCCTGTTCTTGCTGCCTCAGAAACATCGATCACCCTCCAGCCCACTGAGACCTCTGGCTTCTCTAAAAGTCTTATTTAATTATTTATGACCACTTGCTGAATAAAACATGGCACCTCCTGCAGCTGAGGGATCCTCCACGTGACACACAGGAGGGAATTCCAGGCCAGCCCTTCCCCAGGAACCACCTGTGCTCACAGCTGGGGACTGGGCTGAGGCTCCTGGGGGGATAAAGGAAGAGAAGAACTCTGAATATTTGTGCAGTTTGCTGGAAAATGAATTTAAAACATATTAATGGAAGGATCCATAATGCAACATTGCACCCTGGGGAACACAGGGGTGATCCCAGCCACGTGTGTTTGCTGAGAATGTTTTGCAGCAAGACTTTTCTTCACAGAGCATCAACTTTTGGCCAAAAAATCCCTGCTTGCAACACTAATTTAAGCTGCCTGAGATCACGTTATAGCTGGTTCTATTCCTGTTGTGCTTGTCAAAGGCACATTTCCACGCCATCTGTGGGCACTGCTCGCTGTAAATGCTCAATGCAGACATTTAAGGGAAGATTTAAGGCAAACTTTAGTCATTTCTGTGTTTCCAGCCTCGAAGCTGGGCTCTGCTCTCAGCACATCCCAAAGCTCCTGTTTTTCCAAGGTAGTGATGGCTCCCTGAAGAGTCTTTTGGAAATCACTGAAACATGGCAAAGGATGATGCTGAAACCCAGGGCAACTTCCAGCTCCAAACTGCCCCGAAGTCCTGAATCTGTGCAAAGCCAGGAATTTCCATGGCAACAGCCAGGATGCAGGGAGGGAGGAGGGCAGGGAAATTTTGGCAGCAGAGGACAGAGGGTCCCCAGGCCCAGGGAAGGTGTGAGGAAGGGGGAAAGCAGCACAAAACCTGCTCTGGGGATGAAGGCTCAAGGCAGGGGGTTGTGGAGCACGAGAGCTCTTGAGCAAAGCCCTGCTTTTATCTCTGAGAGGAGAGCAAATGGTCCCCAGTGATCAGAGCTGCTCTCCAGAGCAGATCGATGCAGGCAATCGAGAAATGCTGCATTAAGGGCCCTCTCTTCTCTCTTGGTACAGAAATATCTGAAAAAGGCTGCCCTGGGTGCTCGAGAGACATCAGAGGGTCCCTCTGCCAACAGCAGCTTTCATTACCAACCTGCAGCTCATCATCCTCATCCTTATCTTGCCTGAACACTTTTGACAGCTACACAAAGGCCTTTTCCCTTTTTTTTTTTTAATAAACTGGCCTTGAGAACACTTAAAGCTCTCAACATTAATTTTTCAAATCCTAGTAATATTAAATTAATTTACAATTTTCTACCCATCCAGAATGAAATAGCTGGCACTGATGCCTGCAATCTGATATTTTGGAATAGCAGGCACACAGAAAAACAAACCCAAGCTGCAAAAACATTGCTCTTACCAGTCATTTGTGTTATTTAGCCACAAACCAGGCAACATGGCTGCAAAGCAGGGGCTTCTCTGAAAGGGTGGGAGGAAGAGACTGACTGCTGTTCCCATGACACATGATGAAGGAATTAGTCAACAGCTACACAGTGACAACCACTCCAGCTACTGCAAAATAAACAATATATCTGGCAGAAGACAAGCAGGCTGTGGTCAACCCCAATATTTGAAAGAATCCTAAGAACAGGCAGCAAAATATTCAACCCAGGTTCAACAGTCGCTGATGAGTAAAGACTCAGAGCTGCTTCCTGAGTGGCAAGTTAAACATAAACTAAGTTTTTGCAGAAGAAAGACCAAGATGACTGTTTGCTTTCACACACCACTCAGCTCTTCACTCAGCTCACATTCCAGGGCCACGTGTGCAGGTGGATGGCACAGGTAACACCTGCCCAGGACTCTCCTCCGTGCAGAACAAAACTTGTAAAAGAAGGAGCAGCACAGGTTACAAGAGGAATATTTCTAATTGGAAACCCACACCCCTCCAAACCTGGGCATTTCTAGGTTAGTGAAAAAGCCTCATTCCATCTGATAAAAGCCCTACAAAAATCAGAGAATGCTGGCCATGCTGCTTGTCCTGCACAACAGCACACAGGATGCCTCACCAAGCCAGGCTCCACTCCTTCCCTTGCTGACAAACAGTCAATTCTGCAGCTTCCAGGGCTGGTTTCATTTATTGTGGCCATATGGGCTTGGGGGGGAGGAAGAAGATGGTGACAGATAACACAGCTCATCTCAACCTGCACATGCACTGCAGCACAGGACTTCTCCAGAAGCCTTAACCATGGCAACAGCCAAATACTGAGGGCTGCTCAGTGCCCTGGCTAATTCCAGTTTATTGTTTCTGTCCCTGCTGGGATCAGACCTTCTTCCCAGTGTTTGTCTTCTCAGTTATGGCCCTGACAGACGTGGCACAGCTCCCCAAGGACAGCCCTGCCTGTCCCTGCTCTCAGCTGGGCTCACCTGCGCTGAGGGAGCAAAACCAGGCGTGGCCTTGTGAAATGAGAATAATGCAGGTTTGAGAAAGGCTAAAATCCTGGGAGTGGGGGAAAAAAAAACACCCAAATTTCTGCAACTGGCCCTTTCTACTGCTCCTTGGAGTCTGCACACCCTCCTGACTTAACCTGAGGTCAGCCTAGAAGAGGAAGGAAAACCAAAAGCATGAGCAGAGAGCAACAGGCACAAGAATGCCCCACCTGCTCCTGGTTTCAGGGATGGTGCTGAATAATTAACTCCATAACCTACAGGACCATGTTTTCCCAGGTTTTTAATTCCTACCAGAGCACAGTGGGAATTCCACTCCATGGAATTCCCTCACCTGTGTGGCTGTGCACCCACAGCCCCTGCCCAAGCTCAGCACTTCCAGCAGGAGTGGAAGGCAAATCCCAAGGGAATGGCAAGCACCTGGTACATGCAGGGAACCCACACCCACACCAACATCCCGAGCAATGGGATCACCAGGAAAAAGCCCCTGCTCTGTGTCAGCACCAAGGGGCTGCTGGAGAGAGCCCAGAGGGTGACAAACACCCAGCTCACAGCACCGTGGTGGCACTCCACAGGGCGGGAGGGCTTTCCCCACGCACCCTCCCTCCCTCAGGCTCTACCCACATTCACCAAACCCACGTTATCTCGCCCAAAACCAGCAGAAGGGCAGGAACCAACCCCAGCTCTGCTCCCTGAGCAGCTCCACTTTCCCCCAGCCCTGGGAGCCAGCAAAGCCAGGCACTGAAGGCTCAGGGGGAAGGCAGGAGCAGCGCTGGCTCCCACCCTGCAGCAGCTGTCTCTGCACTCAGGAGCTGCCACAGACAGCAATAATGAGATGGCAGCTCTATCCACAACGCTAAATAAATGTCATACCCTTTTCCTGGTTTAATAGCCGTTGCTGAGGCAACCGGTAGTATTCCTTAGCACCACACCCGGCACAGGATTAGAGGTGGAAGTGGTCAGGCTGGGCAGAGCTGTCACCCTCCCCAGGCCCACCACCCACGGCTCTGCTCCTCCCGACTCCAAGCCGTGTCTTCCACTCCCTGTAAATAGCGAGATGCTCCTAACACCAGAAACAAAACACCACACACCTCCCCCGGCTCCGGCATCCCGGGAGGTGACCTGCGGGGACAGAGCAGGACATGAGAACAGCCCCCGGTGCTCCAGCACCGGGCAGGACTCGGCTCCGGGACTCGATGGACCGTGGGTTCGGGTGTGACACACGGGATAAACACGGAGCTCAGCATAAAACATCGCACAAACTAATAAGAGTTAAAGATGCCTGAGAAGGGGGAGCACGGCGAGATGCGGAACGCCATCACCCCGCAGCGGGCACACACATTTGGGCCCCCCCTTTTCCTGGCCGGGGTCCCCAGCACCCGCTGCCCCCCGCCCTGCCGAGGAGCTGCGGGAGGGCTCGTCCCATCCCCGCTCCCAAGGGAAGGATGCAGCACCGGGACTCGCCCCTTTTCCCTGCGCAAAATCCCAAGTTGTGGCGTGCTCTGCCCTCGGCCAAAGGCGTTTTTCCAAGGATGCCGGGCACCGGCGCTGCAGGGATGCTCCTCCGCCCCCCGGGACCCGCAACCGCGCCCGGCTGCGCTCTCGGCCCCACTCCGGGCTGGTTTTGGGGGGGCTCTGAACCCCGCGGCAGCAGCAGCAGCCGGAGGCAGGGATGCCCCCCGGGCAGAGCCGCCGCTCCCGCGGGCACCGGGCGGGGGCTGCTCCCGGGGGTCCCGCACCCACCTCCTTCTTCACGGTGCGCAGCAGCCGCTGCCGGGTCTCCGCCTCTGCGGGGAGAAATGAGCAGAAGAGACCCGTTAGTGCGGCCCGGCCCGGCCCTGCCCCGCCACCCCCGGTGCCCCCCGTACCCGCCGGGGCCGCCGCCATGGCCGCGCTCGCTCCGCAGCGCCCGCAGACTGCCGGGCACCGGGCCGGGCCCGCCGGCCGCACCGCCCCCCGCCCCGCCGGCCGGGGAGGGGCCGCCGCCGCCGCCAATCCGCGACCGGCACCGGCACCCCGCTATCCCGGCTCCGGTAACACCGGCAGCGGCAGCCGCGGTACCCCCAGCTCGCCCCGTACCCCCGGCACCGACACCCCCACACCCCCGGCAGCGGCGGCCCGAGGGGCGGCCGGGTCCGGGCCGGTGCTCTCGCCCGGGTCTCAACCGGGACCGGTCCCATGGTGCGGTCGCAGCCGTCCCCCGGTGTCGCCACCAGCCCCTGACCCCCGTTACCGCAGCCAGGCCCCCGCACCCCCGGCCCAGCCCCGAGGTGCCCGCGGACGGTGGTGGCGGGGCTGGGTGACACCGGGCGGGGAGAGCCCTGGGGGTGTCCCCGCTCTGGGGACGGCTGGGGCCGTGTGTGGCCTCGGACAGCGGGGCAGGGCTCTGGGGGTCCCTCGCAGGGGGGAAACAACCACGTCCTTTGAGGCGTGAGCCTTCCAGGCCCGCTCCGCTCAGCGCCAGCACAGCGGGAAGGTGACAATGACCAGAGACCCCAACGCCTCCTCTCAATCACAGCCCCTCGGAGAGTGCCCTGCCTGCAGCTCCATTACCATCTCCTCTGTTTTCCTCTTCCCTGGCTTGCTGTTCCAGGACATTTCCATAGAAACAGCATCCTGGCTCCTCCGCAGTCCGGTTTCCAATCACTACAAACCGTGGTGGCGCCGGGCCAGCGGCCACCGGCACGGCCCCGCCTGGCCCCGCTGCACCGGGACTCCATCCCGGCACGGACGGCAGGGACAGGGACACGCTCCCACCCCCGGCAGCCCCCAGAGCTGGGCTGCATCCTCTGCCTCCGAGCTTTGCTCCTCCTCGGTGCCTCTGATGACAGCAGGGACCACCATCCCAGTGGTTCCCTCCGCTGCCCAGCTGGCAGGGGGACAGGAAGGAGCTCTGGCCTCGGGATTAATCTGAATTTGGTTCCTTCTATACCTTGCAGGGGCCAGGAGGAAGCCCAGGCCATACCTGTATTTCCGTGTACTGTGTTTGCTTTTCGCTGTTGATTTGCTTGTTAAATACCCGTTTGGCACAAATGTAACTCGGGGGAATGTGATTGCTGGACCAGATGGGTCCCAGAATCCTTGGGAGAAAATCGTCTGAAAAAAGCACAGGGGCAAGGTCCCCCCAAGCCTTGCTGGTTCCTTTTCCTTGGAAAATTCTGCCTCTCCCTGGATTAAAGACAGGTGGGAGACAATTGGCCCCTGTTTTCTGGAGCTTGGAGGGCTTAAATGAGAGCACGTTGATCTATTCTTAATGTGATTAAGTTACATCTCCGAGTATCATGCTAATTAAATTAAACTTCCCACTGCTGCCTCTGAGGCTTAAACAGGATAGCTGTTTTAAGACCACAATTCACTTCCCTGCATGGATGAGCAGGTGGGATAAAAGCATTCTGCTGATCAAGTCATTGTGGTGTTTAGAAACAACTTCTAAAGCAAGGGATATTCAAATTTAAATCTGATTGGAGCTGGATTTCAACTCTGCATTTTCAATCTGAAGTGATTTGTGCTTTGGATAAGGAAAATAACAGGGGAAAAGCAGAAGTAAGCGGCTGGGGCAGTGCACAGACTGTCTGACCACAGCGTCTCAGGTGTAGAAACAGGAGATTGGGAAGGAATTCCTCCCTGTGAGTGGTGATGCCCTGGCACAGGGTACCCAGAGAAGCTGTGGCTGCTCCATCCTGGCAGTGCCCAAAGCCAGGTTGGACGGGGCTTGGAGCAGCCTGTGACAGTGGAAGCGTCCCTGCCATGGCAGGGGTGGCACTGGCTGCTCTTTAAGCTCCCTTCCAACCCAAACCATTCCATGACCTCCCCAAGACACCTCTCCCCCTGCCCTCCTCCCACCTCCAGCATCTCTTTCCACCTCGCGGTTTCTAAAAGCGGGCGGAGATGTCAAAGCTCCGCGCTGATGGGTTTGACAGCGCGGCCCTGCCCCGCTGCCGGGCGAGCCGCGGGACGGGAGCACCGGGAGCGTTCACGGCTCGTTCCCCAGCCAGCCCGGGGGATCTGTCAGGGATGGAGGTACTGAACCGGCTCGGCTCAGCCCCGGGCTGGAGCATCGGCCGTGCCCGGTGCGCGCCTGAGCACAGCGAGCTCCCGGAGAGCAGCGTGCGCATCCCTGCGCTGCAAACCCTGCACGGGGAACAGCTCCGGCCACCGATGCTCCTGCAGGCCCCGCTCTGCCCCCCGAGCGTGGTTTGATAGCTCGGTGTGAGGGAAACGACAGACTCTTCAGGACAGAAAGGAGATTAGTTTGAAATAGATGCCAGAGTTTGAACAGCTGCTACTTCACACTGGGAAAGGGGTGGAGGGATGCTGGGGGCTGTCCCTGCTTCCTGCAGACCCCTGAGACCCCTGGCAGTGCCTGAGCCCATCTGCTGAGCCCTCCTGAGCAGGGGCAGGATGTGGGAACAGGGGGGTCTCCCACATGTCCCACCGAGCCATTCCATACAAACCACCCGGAGAAAAGAAGGGCCAGCAGCAGAGAATAGCTCTTACCTATTCTCTGTTATCTATTCTCAATGATCTGTTCTCTATTATCTGTTCTCTATGACCTATTATTTTTCACAGTTGTTAGGGCACCAGCTGCCTCAGTTCTGTTGTTTACACCCCGAGATGGTCTTTGGTCAGGGGGTTAAGTCCCGCTCCCCAGAGGGGATTTCTCCACTTCATCCCAAAACCCGGGACAAGGGCAGCCCCTCTGGCAGCCCCCACAGCCTCGGCTTTCATCTCCACTCCAGCTCTGAAGGATTGGGATGCACGGCTCTGCAAAGTGCCAGGAGGGGCACAAATCCCATATAAACCCCATATAAACAGCAGATGAACTCTCCCTCACCTGAGTGCTGGGATTGGGCTTGGGGGGAGCCACACCAGGTTTAGGAGCAGGGGCTGATGGAGGGGCTGTGCCGGGACCCCCCCAATCTCCCCTCACTCCCCCCCAGCCCAGGGACCACCCTGACCCCCAGCCACCCAACCCTTCACTGGGGGAACATCCTCGTGGCTCCACGTAACCCCACCAGCAGAAAACTGCTGTGTTTCACAGCAGGAGAGGTGTTCAAAGAACGATTATTTCACCTTAAAGCAAGAATAATTTCAAGTACCACAGTGGAGAGGGAGTGCAGTCCACCCTGTGGAGGGGCTGACAGGACTGGACCCACTTTTAGGCTTTTCCAACCTAAACAATTCCATGATTCTGTGATTCCATTCTATGACAGCCAAAGCAGCCAGGGCCAGACACAAACAAACAAACAAACAAACAAACAAAAAAAAGAAATAAAATTATATAAATGTGCTTTTAACTGGAGGTTTCTAACGGGTCCCTGTGTGTGTGCCTGAGGGATTAACAGTGTCCAGAGGCTTCCCGGGCCCAGCAGCTGCGTCACGTCGTCACAGCAACCCGCTCACCATGGCCCTGGAGCCGCAGCTCCGGCTCCGTCTCTCCTGTAGCTTCTTTTAATTAAAGACGGGAAAGGCTGTGAAAGCCAGGGCTGGAGGCCCCCAGAGCCCCGGGAGAACCCGGTGACCTCAGGTCTGTGCAAGCCCTGCACAGACACATTTCACTGCAATGAATTTCGCTGTGAAACTGTCGCAGGGCAGAGCGGTGGCTTTGGGGACGCTGCCATCCCCTCCTGGTCACAGCTCAGCTGTGAAAGTTATTTCATTTTCATGTGGCTTTTTCCCAGCAATTCACAGCCCAGAGAGACCTGTCGAGTCCAGATGGATGAGATGACCTTTAAAGGTCCCTTCCCTCCCAAACCACTCCATGATTCCCGATTTTCCCCTGCGAGCATCAATGTCACCTCCTTAGCAAAACACACCATGGAGAGAGAAATGAGGATTTGTCAGGAGGAAGGAGGAAACACAGTCCCATTTTACCACCTCAGCCCCAAAAACTGAGCTGGAATCCCCTCCCCTGGGTGGGATCCACAGGGTGATGTTTATTCACACAAGGTGAGGCTGGTCCCCATGAGGTGATGCCGGTCCCTGCAGGGTCCCTGGGGGATGATGCTGGTCCCTGTGGGATAATGCTCGTCACTGCAGGGTCAGGCTGGTCCCCATGAGGTGATGCTGGCCCCTGCAAGGTCAGGCTGGTCCCTGGGGGATAATGCCGCTCTCTGCAGGGTCAGGCTGGTCCCTGTGGGATAATGCAGGTCCCTGTGGGATGATGCCAGTCCCTGCAGGGCCAGGCTGGTCCCTGCAGGGTCAGGCTGGTCCCTGTGGGATAATGCTGGTCCCTGCAGGGTCAGGCTGGTCCCTGTGGGATAATGCCGGTCCCCGTGAGGTGATGCCGGTCCCTGCAGGGTCAGGCTGGTCCCTGTGAGGTGATGCCAGTCCCTGCAGGGTCAGGCTGGTCCCCAGGCTCGGGGGCTGCCCTCCCCGGCTGCCTTTGATCAGAGCACGGCTCTGTTTCCCTGCCGGCTGCTCTCCGTGCCGTGGGTTTCCAGCGGGAGGTGGGGAAGCGCTGTCAGCCTGACCCTCCCCTCCTCGGATCTGTCATCAGCAACACAGAAATCCTTCCCAAGTTACTCAGCCTGAATCCTGCAGGATTTGCCGGGGTGGCAGGATGGCAGAGCAGCCCTGCCTGGGTCCCCCTGCCAGCCCTGCACCCCCAAACCCCCACACCCACCCCAGGGACAAGTGGAGCAAAAAAATGGATTTCCTCCTCTCCGTCATCGGATTCGCCGTCGATCTGGGCAACGTCTGGCGGTTCCCTTACATCTGCTACCAGAATGGAGGGGGTAAGGACACCACTGGGCTTATTTAAGTCTTCTTTTGGAGAAATGATGCCTTTTTGCTCGTTTTCCATCTTTCCCACCCTGAAGAATTCACTGTTTCTTCTCCTTCTTTGTTTCCAGCGGCTCCACTTCAGACAGGGCGGTTTAAAGACC